TCACAACCCCACAGTGCTCACTCAGCTTGGTGGGGATTTCCTTGCACGTAAATTACTTAGAAATATACAGATTGCTTAAGCTACAATAGACTGGTTCTTTCTAAGCATCTGTTATTAGGAGTAATAATAAATGCATTGATTTGGTACTTTTCATCCCTTTGGATCACAAAGCATTTTACATCTACAGTAGGGCTCCACTGCCATCCCCTCACTGAAGTGCAGCAACAATCAGGGTGAGCCACAGCAGCCCCACTGCACAGCAGATCAGGGGGAGGAGAGACAAACGGAAAGGCGCTAGAGCAGGGAAAGGAGTTGTACAGCTGCACGCGGCAGGCGGCACTGTCTGTGTAATATGAGCGAAATGCAGAAGTAACTCCATGGTTTGAAAGGTGAAGCCTGGGGAATGTTTGAGAGGGGCAGCAGCTACTCCCACTGCCCTGTCCCTTTTGGTGTCTAATCCAGCGACTTTCAGCACAGGTATCTTCAAGAGCAAATGGCGGCCTGTCTAAACAAAGGGGCTCTCATCCAGGCCAGATAAGTAACCCACTCTTGGTGCTGAGCTGTTACTTGCCTTGCACTTTGAAATCTAATCATTCATTGACATTCATAGCTCATAGCGCATACTTTGAGCGTGAATGGATGAGGTGATAGTGCCAGAGAGGTCTCCACTGTGTATTACTCACAGTGGGGAACTGTAGATTTTAAGAGCTTAGAAATGTGTTTTTTTTTTTTAAGAAAAGGTTGGGAAATGATGCCCAAGTTTCCCCTTTCTGTTCACCAGAAAACATGTGAAATGAAGCGCATGTGCTGTCACCCGATGACTTGGGGCTGTGTAATCCTAAAAACATCATCTTCATTTGTTAAATGGCCACGATCGGGATGGTGTTTTAAATGAGAATAAAGCAGTGCGTAAGGAATACGTGCTTACCAGCCTTTGTGTAGTCACTGCCCTGATTCTTTCTGCTCTGTGAACATGGAGGTGTGACATTTAAATGTAGGGAGCTGGACTGGCTGTGTAAGTCTTGAGGGGGTTTGTTTCATTTCTTTTTTGTTACCACGCTGTCATTATCATTTATTGAGTGAGTCATGAAGAAATCAAGCTCCTGTAATCAAGCTTGGGCAGCACATACCTATTCGTCATCCGCATGAAGATCGAAAATATATCCCTTTATTGGAAACCGAAAAGAATTTAAGAAGTACTGCAGGGAGCAGTTTACCCCAAAGTGCCAATTTAATGCAGACATTGCTGAAATTCTTTCCTTCTCCTCCGAGGTGCTGTCTTACTAAAGCACCACTGAGCGACCACAGTCACGCTGCACTTTTGCTCTGATTTCAGTTCATTTCGTTTTTCCTCATGATCTTGACTCTTTTAATCTACATTGTGTATCAGATTGTTAATTTTCCTATCCTAAGCTGTTTATGAAATCACTTTCTTGCTACTGCCTCTTTAGATTTCCTTATTGAACCATTACTTATTTCAGTCCCTTGCATTTATGTGTCCGTGTTTCATCCCATAGAATTCACATATCATTCACCTGGGGGAGAGCGGGGGGGCGATGAGATAATGGCTGTGAAATGCAGAGAACAGACAGTTCATATTTTTTTTCCTTCTTATAATGAAATCTTGCTTCACAGGTCTCTGGGGGAGAAAGAACAGTTCTTAATTACAGGCATTGGGTGTCCACCTTCCTCATTATTCGTTCAGAAATGAATGAAAACAGATGAAATTCAGCTGGATAAACAAACTAGAAAACACAGTAAACATGACTGAACTTAGTTAAGACTTTCAGATGTTTTTACATAATTCCTCATGGCTTGTAAGTTGTTAAACAATTTATTATAATTACATGCAATTGAAAGTAAGTAATTTTTAAATCTGGTTAATTAAGGTTGTGTTTTTTCAGTGTTGCAACTGAAATCCATGAACAGAGGGATAAATGGAAACGACCCTGACCCTTTGACTGCGTGACCTCTGACCTCTGACCCTGTGCAGTCAGGCTGGCAGGAAGGGCACCGGTCCCCCAGCACTGATCCTTTCCAGACCAGTGCTCCAGAGGTTGTAGAATACGAAACATGTTTTAACTGTTTAACAGTCAGCTTCCCCTGCATTTCGGAGCATTTCCCGAAGTGCCAAATTCCCTGATACCACCCCAGCAAGTAAAACAAACACCAGAGGAAACTCCATTTCACAACCTGATTGCATAGCTACAGTACATTCATCAGAATGAGACCCTGACAATTTAAATATGTTCAAACTTTCTTCTTTACAAAAACTGCAGTTTATGCTGAGCAGACCAGTTGCACAGGGTCCCTTCCATAGGGTACACAGGACTTGACGGATCCTGCCGTTGATCAAGCATTGTGGGTAAATATCCAGTGCTTGAAGCACTTAAGATTAAATGCACAAGGAGTTTTATGGATCCAGTCACAGGCCTTTAAAAGTGAAAATGAATTTCATGCTTTAGCAGGGGGAATAGTGAGCTCATGTGAAACTGCTCTGCTGCATGAGACCCTGGGGCTTTTTCAGTCAGTATTATGCCCTGAATCAGGGTGAATCAGAGGGAGCAGCTATGCAGGAGTCCAGCACTCTGATAAAGACATTCCTCAGAGGTCTGTAGCGCTCAAGGAAGAGAGCTCTGAGGAGGCCGATGAGTCACAGACACTCTGCCTTGTGGTCAGCGGGAATGCAGTTCATGGAGCTGAGGTACAAAACTAAATTACAGCAACTGTTGAAAAAAAATCCCCTCCCCCCCTCCTTGTTAAACTCTGCGGTCTGAGAAGGGAATGGGTAAGATATTAAAAATGCACTGTTGGTAACTTTGAAAAACAGAACTCCATTCTTTGCAAGCAAAGGTCCTTCAAAAAAAAAATGAGACGCAAACATAAGAGATCCAACTGGAGCCCTTCAAAGTAAACACAGGTCTAACAAAGACGAGGCAAGGACAGACATCCACACTTGTTTTCAATTTGAGTGTCTGAACTGGTGTCTCAACAGAATACACGCGAGGAAGAAGAAGAAGAAAGGGATTGTTAAGCTCCAGGGGTATTTAAGGTCATATATTTCTTACATCTCAAAGGATTTTCTAGCCAATACAGCTATTACAAAACACAGCCACAAGCTTCAAGCTGCATGAAGCACTAATACCTCACCGAACTCTAGACATAAATAAAGATTACAGTATTTGAAAATATGTATGTGTATAAATCTGACAGATCCACTAGCTGTTTTTAATCACAATATAATCATAATGCTACAATTCTACATAAAATCAGATGCTCTGTCCAACATTGCTTCTGACAACTAAATTTGTTGTACTTTTCAAAAACCCATCAACCTAAAAGTACTGTAAGTAGCTAAGTAAGCTGGGGTTTGATCTAGAGCAGTTTAGGGTTCCTCTAATAATGAAAGGTTGGATCATCGTGGAATTATCCAGCCGAGCATTAAACTTTCCTGAAACTGGCTTCTGCAACTATTGAGGAAGTGTAAAGTTAGTAGCACAAATGTGGGCTACCCAGTCTGGCTGAGGGAAAAAAGGATCTCAGAACCTTTAACTCAACACAGTCCCCTGGGCACAGCAGAACTCATGAAATAAGCTTAATAATAACAGGCTGGAGGGCTATCTAGCCACAGCCCTGTCTGCTGAGAGGCGGCTGGAGCAGACAGTATAAATTAAGAGTGAATGAAGAACAAAAAATAAGTTGGAGCAAGATATTGGAATTCATCCATTTGGAAGCTTGCACTAGACCAGTAGAAATGAATGGACTGGACTGTAGTGTTCAGGGTGATGAGACTGCAGGTGCTGACAGTACAGTGTTCTCTGCATGCAGAAAGGACTGTGGTCACAGGTTTCACCAGGACTTGAGGAACATGTTGGGTGCTGGTCAGCTCACAGGGCACCCGAGGGACAGTTTCTTTTAGCTAGTTGTCTTTCCTCAGTGTACAACACAAAGAGCAAGAGAAGTCAGAATGGCATTCAGATGAGGAAAGCAGAAAGGAATCAAGTACTGCTTCTGTGGCAGGGTAACGATACACTGTCCAGATTGTGGTCTTGACAAAATCAGGTGACACAACCTGTCTGGAAGTGGACCCCTCCAAGAATTCTAAGGGTATTTAAGACATCATATACAGCTCTTTCACAGTCAAAGTTTCCTTTATCTTCAGCTTGATATATAACCTATTGCTATCTCATGGGATTTTGAAAAAGCAGGTTTGTTTTTCTTCTGTAATGGTATCATGTCTCTGTGTTGCTGTTTGTTAAGACACCTTGTGATATCTGTGTTGCAATGGAGAGTGAAAACAACCATACTGAGCACAACTTCCTGTCCTAACAGCAGTGTGGCAACACCAATCCATCACTGCCACCTCAGAAGGCATAAGGTAATGCATCACATCAAAAACTGCACTTCATAATGAAGATATTTATGATTCTTTTAAGTCAACCTCCAATTTCCGCAACAGTTCATTACATTTAATTATCCAATATAAGATACTGATACTAAATAGATTTTAAAATCTTCAGGTTACTGTTCTGCACCAGTTCAAAAAGCATTTACAAAAATTTAGATTGCACAATGAGTTCATGGGTAAGGTTTTGGCCATTAATCATATAAAATAAAAGGACTGACATAATTACTGAGATCTGGCAGCTATTTTTTTTTTCCTGGATCAGGTTGAAACAAGCCTCAAATTCTATATACCGTGTGATGCAGAATTGGAATTCATCAAATACAGTGCCGATGAGAATGTCTAAAGAACGTGATGTGGACGCCATACTGTAAAAAGGCACTGTCCTTTGGATGAGATATAAAATCAAGGTCTTAACTCCTGATGGTAATTAAAAATCCCAGGGCGTTTCTCGAAAGGAGTAAGGGTGTTAACCGTGGTGTTCTGGCCAAATTGATTCGCAGTATTTGAAATAAGGTATAACTCATTGATGTAGAAAGAAGCATTTTCTGTGGAACTACACTCATACATTTAAGAAACTATACAGTCGTAAACAGACGAGCCTTGCAGGGTTCACCAATTTATTGCTGGGTTTTAGAAACCATCATACTGTGTTCATTCTCAGGGATTGGGTTTTACAGCTTTTCTTCTCCACACGGAGCTTAACCTGCCTCCAAATCAGTGGACACAATAATTAATAATACATTTATAGAATAGTTCAAATATATTTCATAGGGTTTTCTTGGCCTAATTAAAAAACAGGCAATACAGACAACGGTGCTTCTAACTGATGTTTCACAATTTCTCAAAAATAACAAAAATAAATAGAAATCCATCAGTGACAATTAACTCCAGCAATGTGATACAATACAACACTCTATGTATTTAGTGTCTGGATTCTATTTATAACTTTTGTGACATGACATACAGTACCACATAAGAGAAGGACATTCATTTCCTACAGTTTGTTTTGCTGCTTGATCCCTCATCCGTTTCCGATCTCTGTTTTGTTCTCGTCTTCACCACTGAACAAACTGAATTAAAGTATTTTGACCTCCAGCTCTATTACCTATGGAAATTTATATTTTGGGAAGGGTACAGGGGTCCTCGATTCTCAACTATCCTTCACCAGTCTACCTTGGATATACGAAGAATCGCATAGAACTTTTTTTGACTTCCTCTACTTCTCCTGCTAGTAAGAGAAGTAACTTCATTTCATGTGAGCTCTTGACTTGTATCTCTCCAGCTGCCTTGTTAAATCATCAATTCGCAGGTCTTTCAGGTGCACAAGGTGTTCCAGTCTGTTTACTTTCATCTGCAAGATCTGCAAAGAAAAATGAGCCATTACAACATCAGCCAGTCCCGACAATTCACTTAACGGCATCTATTTCGAGTTGAGGGTTATTTGCCCGACGGTGTGTATGAAAGTAGAAAACTTCCAAGTGCTGTGACGATAGCTCGTCGTCTGCTCAGCCAGCTCCTCTGTCCTCTCTCTCTGCCAACACGGCGCTGCCAACACATGTCATCCTCTCACTTCCTGCCGCAGCTGTGCGAAAGGAAATCTCTTTCCTCAGGCCACTTTCATTGGGACGCGTCACCGCCACCTGCAGATGAGCAGGCAGAGATCCCTGGTGCTTGACGGTGACAAGTGAGCACTGCCTGGTTTACATCAGTGGGCAGCAGGTGGGCTTGATGCACACTTTCATTAAAGTGCATGTTGAGGACAGCACTCTTTTTGCTCTCACTTGTATCCCACATCCAAACGAATCATACTGAGTTACTAACAATACACTTGAATCAACTCTCGTTTATTTCATGGGGCTGATACAGCAAGAGGGATTGCTGGGTCCCCAGTGTAAGATCCTGGTGCACCTGCCTCCATAAAATGGTTTTGTGTTCTAACTCTTCTGCACGCCCAGTGTTGATCTGGGCACAGTAAAATACCAAACGGGCATGCACGTTTTGTTTTTTTTTTAAACCGGGGGGGATGTCATCGTGTTCTCCTTTCCCCTTGATATTTGACGACATTCGATAATTGCAGTGCGTCAGCAGTGTCGAAATTATTTTGAAAATCGTACAATGATCACTGTGATGAAGAACATGTTGCATAGACCATCCTCTTGTAAAAAAAAAAAAGTACAGGCTCTGTTTCTGCGCAAGATTTCAAAATCCCTCTTCCTGTGTGAAACTTATTAAACAAGGATGTAACTTAAAGGATAAGTAGACATTGTAGTATACGTGTAATATAACAGCAAGACACTTTGGGTGCTTTTTCCAATCATTATCACCCACCTCCATGGTCTCCTGCAGAGCAAGCAGGGCTTGTTCCTTCTCTTCCATCAGGAGCAGGAATGCAGGGTCCACATGAGAACTCGGTTTCTGTTTAGGCCTAAGAGAGATTTCAGTTGGACACAGCCTTTCAATCCATGGGTACTGACACGGTATATGCTAAAAATGGCTCCTTGTACTCAAAGAACACACCATCACAATGGTTTTGTAATTTGAATACCTCTTTGAAACGGTGCCATATCTGATCATCACACAAAACACCAAATAAATAATCATGTACAGTACTGGATTTGTTTTTATTCATATAAAGGACATTCTAATCTGTTGAAACAATATGATATCGACGTATGAATGTCACTTTCACTGTATGATCATTTAACCTTTGGCGTGTTTTCTGGGCTCAGGCTTGACGTCTGACTCTTACCTGTCTGTCTGGGAACATGTCCAGTCCAGTCTTCTCTGTTCTGAAGCTTCATTTGTGTAAGAATATACTTTTGGCACCTGTACATATCCTATAACCCAGACAGAAAGCAGAGTTAGTGTTCTGCAATTTTTTTTTATGAAGAGATAGTGTTACATGATGACATAGACAAGCTTATGGTTAAAGAAACAGCTCTGGAGAGGACAAGGATATATCTTTCTCATGTGCACGGTAAAATTCCAGAAACTTCTTTTTTAATAGAACCAATAATTTGGTGTGAAAATATCGTTTTCTTACATGGCAATCAACATAAAAGCAATGATGGATGGAGTCGTGGAATCTGAGCTGAAATGCTTGCTGGGAGCTCTCTGTGAAAGCTGCAAGAGGACTCTTACTTGAATATCGGCCTCTGCCTTCTTGGGGAAAGACAGCCTTTTCCCGGGCAGCATAAGGGATTACAGGGTAGAACTTTATTTGACCTGACCTACATGTCAAGAGCGAAAATAAAACACACATGGAAACAGAAAAACTGCAGTGAAGTGGGCCCTGATTGCACAATACTTTAAAAACAACTTTATAACTAGTGGGGGGACACTGACGCTTTAAATGGGTGAATCCGCAACTGTTCCACAACATTACAAAATATTTTTGACAAAACAAAAAGAAAGTCAAGGAAGCACAAAAATAAAGGTTACGTTTAGAACGTCAGTTTCATCAGCAAGGTTGTTACAGATGCTGATAGGTAGATGTACAAATCATACTGGATTAAATGGGACTGATTTCAGATGTGTGCTAAATGCACTTAAAATACCTTAAAATTAAGAGATCTTTCTGAGGGTTTCAGTCCCTGTGATTTTCTGAATCCTCTAAATCGCAAACCTACATATTTAAGCCCAGAGTGACTCATGGGAATTCCTCTGGAGAGCAAGACCTAAGTGATTAGGCTCTGTGTTGGTGAGCTAAACACAAGGGTCAAAAAGGCAAGAGGAAAAGGATGCTGAGCTGAAGTGACAGAGTCAGCAAAGGTTCTCTGGTGGTCACTGAAGGGAGGCTGTGTTATTGCCCAGGTCAATACTGACCTCAGTTTAAACCACCAAAATCCGCTGGCACAGAAGGTGCTACACGATTCAACATTTGCGTAAAGATTCTGAAGCAAAACTGCTTCTCTATCCGAATGTTTACCTCACACAACCCAAGGTGGCAGAAAATATTGTGTGTGAGAGAGAAAGAGAGGAGAGGAGTGTGACGAGAGTCAGTGCAGGGGTCTGGGAAAAACTGGAGCCCTGTTTTCTGCAGAACTGACTAGCGTCGTTAATGCTTAGTGAAAATTTCACAGCAGTTTACGAGTGAGGCTTTACAGAGCATGCAGCTCTGGTGTGCTGGTACATTCTGGTGTACAGAGTGGCTTGAGATAAAAAGCTTCTTGCCAGATAACAGTAGATAAGGGTTTTTTGCGCACAGAGCAGAGGAATGCTTCTGTTTCTTACTTCACAGCCCAGACCCAACCAATATGGATTAAGGGCCAGCAATCAGAGTGTCTAGTTCAGGACTATGTAAATGGTTAAGAACAGAGAAACAAGAATCTCCCGCACAGTGGAAATAAATCCTATAATATGTGTCAGACTGTGTGGTTACTAGAGTAGATTTTCTGTCTGAAATACTCTTTCCACTGGGTCTGTGATTTTACAAGCCCTTGGCTTCATTCACTCTGCGGTGGTTTTAAGCTTATCACAATATTAATATTATTGCTCTTTTCATTTATTCCTTATCTGCATTACAGGGCACACAAACACACAGACACACACACATTCACATCAGAACCAATGTTCCCAGAAGCCAGTTAAACTACCAGTGGACAGTGGGAGGAAACTGGAGCACCTGGTAAAGACAAGATACAAACTCCACACAGATAGCACCCCAGAAATGAAACCCAGAGCCAAAACCACTACAAGGAAGCACTGCTACACACTGCACCACCACACCACCCCATAACACTAACACGAATTTAAAACCACTTTAAAAGGTTCAATTAATCTGAAATGCTGTCATACTGGTGCTCCACACAGTCTTCAACTATGACGAATTTAATACTCCGAAATCTCCTCTAACATAAAACATATGTTCTCATTTGTTGAGAAATATGCTATTGCACAAGTCACTGCAGGCGGAAAAAAAAAACCTTTGTCTGGAAGAAAAAGGCTGGGATAGCCTTTTGGTCTCGGACACCTGGACGCCACTATCCATCATCATTACTCCAAGTTTTAAGTCTGACCAGAAATAAATATCTCAATGCAAAAGAAAGCTGCACACTCACAACAGACTCACACCTAGATTCTCTGCAATGTCTTTTTATATTAACCCCTTTAATGAGTGCCTGAAAACTGCTCTTGTTCTTGTAGGTTTATAGTACACTGCTATCACACTTGAGTGAAAAAACTGGCCTGGTTATTACTACTACAACTAACAGCTACTGTCCTGTTTCCAATTGGCCTTTGTTGAGCTACATTTCTGAAAAGGTCAGTGACAGTTAAATTAGTCTTATCTCACATCTAATGGCTTCTTCAACCTCAGCTTAGACAATTAAACAACTCTTGTTAAGGTGGTTAATGATATACTGATGACTTCTGTGTAAAGAGGTTTCTGACTCTGGTTCCCTTAATATTCTTACGTATAAGATTTTAAGTGCAGCTTTCAGTATTGTTAATCACTGCATCCATCTGGATCTTACAGAAAATTACCTAGGGATCACTGGTACATGCGTTAATGTTTTGACTCCAATTTGGCTACCAAGAGTCAATTTGTAAAACTGATATGGTCTCATTTATGCAGGGAGTCCCAGAGGACTTTGTTCTGGGATATTTATTTTATATTTACATGTTGCAAACATTACATTATTTGCAAATATTAGATTATTTGCCATCACAAACGTGGACTTCCCTGATAATATTCAAGATTTACTTTCAGAATAAATCATATAGTATTGTCACTGCTCCTGCACTTTACAGGTCTCTGTCTTGTTTAACCTTATGGACACAAGAGAACTTTCTTAAGATAAACTGTAACAAGACTGAAGTTATTTTCACAGGTGTCCAACTTCAGCTTGTTGCAATGTTGGTGACTTCAGGGCTGTTATAGACTGGTGCTGAATTCAGACCCTTGATGGAAGTGGAAAACTTTGGTATTATTTTAGACCCTGTGTTATCATTAGAAATATTTGTCAGGAACATCACAAGAACATCTTTATTTATTATTTATTTATTTAAGATCCTTGCTCTGCCTGTCATATGCTGAAATATTGTATTAGCACTGTCCAGCACTTAACCTGCAATCTGAATTTTCAGGCCATCTTGCTCAACTCCCAGTGAGCACAAGTGCCTCCTGTTTGCAGCACAACATCTGCGTAGCTCCCTGGGCCTGTTCATTGAAGAGACATTGCTACATCTCACTAACACACCTGGGTTTTCACATACCGTGTTTAAACCGGAGGAAATGAAACTTTTTTCTTCTGAGGAAACTGTTCTCTTTGTACTCTATATGATCTGTAGCTAAAAATAAACTCAAAAATCTTATACTGCAGAGCTATAAATTAAGCACAGATTCTTAACAATGCAGTCAAGGGCATTTTCCCATTTTATTAGAGTTACAGTACCATAATCATTTTTCCATGATCTAGTGTTGCGTGCAAACATCATTGCAGACAGTAAATGTATTACTCATTAGGAGAGGGTGTGCCTATCTCACATTTTCTACTGAAAAATTATAATACAATAATTGGAGACAGTGGCTATATACCATCATGAAGCTTGTGAAGAAAATGGATGTCAGAACATTCTTAATGTTGCCTGCTGTGACACTGGGACGCCTCCTCTTTAACCTTTGCTAGCTGTTTGTACACCTTTTGCCAAGACATTACCCCAAGGATCAAAGGGGTTCTTGCCAGTTTAAAGACTAGAATGTATATTTAAAATATCTAAATAAACTTCCTTTGAACGTCAAAAAATAAAAAGAACCACTAACTGTTGAGCACAGGTTTTTCCCCCCCAAATCATGCATTTTTTGACTGCAGTCCAGACCAGTATGACTTCACCCGGAACACAGTGTCAGTCAGCACTTAGCAAACTGCAGCGCACTATCAAGGGAACCGCAGAGGAACATGCCCAGATCACTGAGATCCCTGGACAGTCATACAGGAAGAAGGTGACCTGTGGTCCACACAGTTATGATGTGGGCAGGAAACGAGATGCCTCTTGTACTGGTATCGGAGCACACATCACTGAGGTGAATGCTAGAAAAAGACATTATTACATGTAACAAATTCCATTCCACTAATGATTACCTAAAGGCAGAAGCAGGAAAGCCCTAACTATATTAATTAAATTATTGAACTGATGATGTGCTTTATTTCTCCTATTGTTTTTTTGTGGTGAGTAATTGGTACATGACTAGTAGGTTTTTCCACAATGTGGAATTATAGGCTATTGTGCCTCCAGGATGTAACGTGGACTAAAACCACTTTGATGATACCACATCGCTCTTTCTGATATAATTAATGCTTCCATCTGTCTGGTGTTACACTGAAAATATGCTCATTCCATAATCCTAACAGTATAACTGTCCTTAAGGTAATTACAGCATTTTTTTCCTACATCTCATTATATGTGAGGACAGAAAATCTTCAAAAGCAAAATGTTACAACTACCCTACAGGTATCATCTCATTTATAGCTTCTAAGTAATAAGTACAGAAATTAGCACGGAATGTTTATCGATTACAAGTTGAAAAATATATTTTACCTGCTTGTGATTGCTCATTGCTGATGCTGTAGTATTCCAAGTCCTAATAATTTTAGCAAAGGAGATCCATAATTAAAACATTTTTAATTGTATGCATTTTCCACATTTACACTAAGACACTATGAGCCTGATGGCAGAAAGCATGGGGGCGAAATAATAACATTCAGGAGAATGGTAAGAAAGGGAATTTTCCTTCAGGACACCATGAAAGCTAATTCCCACCTCATAAGCAAGATACTGAGTTCTACACTGAAATAAAAGGAAAGTACTAAAACAGCATGTCTGGTGTCAGACTGACCTGTGGCAGCGTCCTTGATTTCTCGTTCATAGACTTTCCTAAGCGTTTCTCATTAATCTTGTTTCTCAGTGTGCAGAGGACAGGCTCAATAACTCCTGCTGTACTCAGAACTATTTTTTTGACTGTTTCTTCTGGCACGTGGAAGTTTAACTTGGAGAACACCTTCCTGAAAATACAACAGCGAAGACAATCAATACCTTTTAAACAGTAGTGCCTCAGCAGGGCAGGCTACACTATAAAAGCTATAAAAACAAATGGAGAGAGATAGTTGATCTCTTAACCCCAAACTTTTATTTTACTACTCATATTAACCCAGCTCATAAAAGTTACAGGAAGGCTTAGACTACAATATTCCCGAAAAAAAA